TTTGAGGTTTGAGGGGTTTTTCAATTTCTTTCTTGAGATTTTGTAAGTATCAATCATCCCGTTGATTTTTTTTTATCAAATTTTCAGTTCTTCATTTCCATGTATTAATTTAACATAACAAAAGTTGTGGCATTTTTTTATGTTTCAATTGAGTTTCTAAATATTAAAAAAGTCTTAATAAAATATATATCTTTCAATCATATTGACATTCATAAAATTCATTTCATCAAAATGTTTTCGCATAAAAAAAAAAATAGAAAGTAGTATTATTTCAATTATGAAATACCACATCATTGGTTATTAGTTTGAGTTTATCAATTTTAATATGGTTTGAAGAATTAATATGAAAATTTAATTATAATTTGGACAAATATATATATTAATTTTATTGTATTAAACTTTACATTTTATGCAGTTAACAATGTTTTTATTTTTTTGCTTTTTAAAAATGAGAATGTAAAAAGATGATACAAAACTCTGTTAACTTTTGTTAACTTGGTATTAAATCATTATGATTTTATGAAAATATGAAGATGTATAGTTAGAGTTATTACATTTTTATCAATTTTTTTATTTGTTAAAAGTTTATAAATTTGAGAAATATAAATTCTATTTGAGAAAATAAGATAGTTAATACAATGGAGAAATACATGCTTAATCAAGATATTTTTAGAAATTTAGGAAGCGAATTGAAACATTAAAAATACACCTCATTAGTTATGTGAGCTTAATAAATGAAAGGAAAGAATGAAAATTTTGAATAATAATAATAAAAAAAGGATAAGAATTATTACGAGAAGTTGCTTTAAAAAAAAAAAAAAAAAAAAAAAATCCATCAGGAATGCTGATCTGAAAAATCAATTATGGGAATATTATCAAAGGAGGATGGCTATACTTTTTAAAAAATTATGGGAATCGTCTGATTAATTGGTTGTCAAAAACTCTCCTACGAAAATATAATATAAATAAAATTCAGTGTGGATACAAATGATAACACTATATATTTAACTATGTTATATTCTCTTTAAAACATTTTGTTTAGGACCTGCCGTCGGTGAAGAACCAAAAGAAACACAAATGAAAGAAAAGAAAAAATCCTCACCAAATACTGACCCAACGGAATCCAACACACAATCATTTCTTGCCGTATGTAATGTTCTCATAGGTTGCGCCATTGTTTCCTGCGACCCCTCTATTATGTCTCTTCCTATGTTTGCATTTTTTTTCCATGCAATTGCAATATTCCTAGTACTTAAAGACCGAAAAAGTGCTTTGCTATCTTCCTCGAACGTAAAACATGTCGCAACAAAATTTCAAGGAAGTTACCTGGTGGGGAGATGTTTAATTAGTCTGATGCAGAAATACAACAGAATTGAATGAGAAAAGTCTAAAATTAATTAGGTAAGATGTTGGAACGTACACATTCAACAAAGTTAAAATGTCATATATATATATATATAAAAAGTGAAAAAAGGACCCAAGTTGTATATATGTTGGATTTCACATGGAAACTTACTTGAAATTTGCCCGGCTGCTCGCTGTCAAATATATATGTAATACAGCTGTTGTTGAGCCGGTCAATTGAGGTTCATGAAGTTTTCATCATTTTGTTTTTCTATCTAGCTATATAATTAATTAATTGCTCAATTTCCATGTATCTTACATATATATTAAAATTTTAATAGCTCAAGTAAAGTGTTGAAACATCGACAAGAACAAAGCTATCGGTCAGCCTCATTCGTTGTTTTTAAAAAAGTTTTATATGTGGCATAGTCATCGACAATGTATCCCTGGGACACTGGATATATTTCTCCAAATCCAAGCCTAACCATAATGAATATTTTAAGCCTCAAAGAATAGCAGGAAAGAAAGGCATGTTTAATTTGTCACTTACACATTTTTCACTCTTACATTAGCCTAGTTTAGAATTTATTTTGCACTGACAATTTAATTGACACACTAGCTAAACCAAAAATACCATTAGAAAAAACCCATGCTCCTATATGATGACGTTAGCTGTTTGCCCTTTTCTTTTTTCATTTTCGTATATTTAGATTAAGTAGTGTTATATGACATCAATGATGTAAAAAAATAATATTTTTTTCAAGTTTATCTTTCTCGTATTTCGAGTCAATTATGATGCTATCCTTGCATGTTTAATGAAATTATTTCATTAATCATTGTTGTTTTAAAATATATTATTTAGTCTCTGTTTTTTTTTTTTCTTAATTTATGAATTTTGGATTTGACAATAGGGGAGTTAGTTCTTCTTTAATTCCTTTTAAAATCATTGTAATTTGTTTAATATTTTAGTAATTTTAGTTTTCAAACATTTCATGATAAGTTGACAAGAATATTGACATCCAAATTATTTCTAAAAGTAATTACATGAAAATTTTATATTGTTGTTATCACAATTTTATGTGCATATAAATCAATTTTTAATACCATACATCTCTCGTTTAATATATATATATATTTCAACGAAACACATATTATTAATAGTTTGAAAATTTTAAATTTAATTAATTTCTATGAAAGATTAGCTAATGGAAATAAAAAATTGATATTGATTATTTTTATAGGTAGATTGTCTTTTATTATCTTTAGCTTCTTTTTCAATCAACTTAATTTATTTTTGTTTAATATTTAGTTGTTTCTTCTTTTTTTTTTTTTTTTCAAAATTACTTGATACCTTTACAAGGATAATAAAGTCTAAAAAATTTCAAGCATAATTATATAAAAAATTATCACCGTTTTATGTACATATCAATCAATTTATACATACCAAACACGATAGAAATGTTTTATATCTATGTACATAAAATTGTAAGTATTTTGAAAATTTAAAATTGACATTCATAAGTGTTATAACATAGTCTTAATATATAAATATAATTTTCACAAAATATTAATTTTGTAAAATTTATAAATTTGAGTTACCACAATTGAGATATTTCCTTTTGAATTAATTAAAAGTGAATATTGAGTTGAAAGATGGTTCGAGGATACCCCACTAATATATATATATATATAACTAAATTTTGTATAAATACTATAATAAGACAATGTACTTACATGGATTCAACGTAGGAATCGTTTGCTTGAGTTTTTAGGAAATTTCTTTCATATTGATGAGTTGTCGTTTGACTTAATCAATAATATAGGAATGTGAGTGGAAGTCCCCTCATATTGTATACTTGTAAAATAAGTCCTTCTAGTTGAGTAAGGACCCTCCGACATTAAAGTTAGTGGTCAAAATATGACAAAATGGTCAAAAAAGACTATTATATGCTATTGCATACTAGTTTTCATGTAATTTAGTGAAGGTGTAAGGGATGATTGGAATGGACTTATTTGGAGAGTAATGAATCAAAGGAGTATTGCGTGAATAATTTTATTTTTATTCTAGTTCCCTTGTGTGAAAAACTTTTATGCTTTTTTTTAGACCTTGATTCAAATCCAAGTTCTCGATCCCTTTATTCTTTGTAATATTTTACTTTATATTGGTAGTAATGGAAGCTTCTTGCATGGTTGAAAGGGTGGGAATGTTTTTTCTCTTGAGGTTAGTGGAAGAGCCGATAGGTATTGGTATTTTGCTATCATTATATTTATTTCTACAGTAACATATGTTAATGCATTATGGTTAATAATGATTTAATTGATTTCATCATTGAAGATTCCTCATTTAATGCCTTTTCTTTTGGTGATAGAAGAGTGATATATATATATATTTCAAAATAGAACTCTCAAGTTAAGAAGATTTCAAAGTTTTCTTTTAAGTAAGGCCCTCTGTTTGGAGGAATTGGTGTCCTTCGGTGCTTTGTAACCCGCTCAATAGGCTATTCCATCATGAAGTTTTGTGGGCCTAATGAGTTTTGGAGTTGGGAGCCCTTGGGCCCTTCCTATTAGGTTGTGCTTGGAAAAAGCTCTCCATTATCAGTCCTTCCTAAGTCTTAGTTAGACCGCTTACCCTAGACTTGGACACCATTGGCTAGGTATTTCATGCAGCGCGTTCTTTGATTAGGGGTGACGGTCGGTGTTTTTTTTTCCTGTCTCAACGTGCTGTTGGTTAGTCAGCAATGCTTTCTTTCTACATCTTAGAACCTCGAGTTTGGTAGCTTTGAGTGAGTAAAGGATAAGCATCTGCATGCTTGGCTCCTCTATTGCTTATATACAAACCAAAATAAAGTTAAATACTGTCGATAAATGGAACCTAGAATCAAGAACTGGACATGCGCATCCCTAAAAAATAGAGAGAAGTTCCAACCATGGCTACAATGAAGGAGCGAGCTTGGAATCTGCAATGGGTAATCGCTCCCGCCTCCAATTAAGCCCAAAATCCCAATAAACCAGCTTGGTCCGTCAACTGCGATCAGCGTGAGAAAATTGAATTTGAAAAGAACCACCCAAATAGTCACTTTCTTGTGCATAAACTTGAAAGCAAGCTGCCTACACATAATTGAGAATGAATCAATGAAGACATCGAAATGAATTCAAGAGTCTTCTTTCCCGATATTCACCTCTTGAACAAAATTGTAGCTGTTACACGTAAAGCAGTTTGATATAAGGAGTTATAAAGTAAAATTCCGTAAATTTTTTTCCCCTTTTTCCTGACATTAATTTTGCCAAACGTTCTTCAACCTCATCATCAATCCAACACAAGATATAGGGCAAGATGAGGAGTTCAACCATGGGAAATACAGGGATGAAAAAAGGGTAAAAAAACAAAGAAAATTGGGCTGCCTAGTCACAAGGATGAGTTGTCATCTATACCATGATACTATTGTGGAAAAGTAATCCCAGCTCCCAGCTCTATAATTGATATATCCTCCACACAATTCATCATGCCCATATCACTCTATAAGAGAGAGACCAGGTATACTTAACATTCCTTTCGTCCTGCTAGAAGCAATACATATTACCTTAGTCAGAATCTCTGTTCACCTGAAGAAAGTAATCCAATGGTATCAGAAATATCTCTTTGCTCTACATATTTGTTAATTGCACTGCCTTGGTCGGAAATTTTCATTTGATAGCAGAGAGCTGATCAGTGTCTCCAACCTTTTAGCTCCAGGGCCAGGTCTCAGGACAGTTGTATTTCCAATAGCAGAGCATGGATCAGTTCCATTCTCCCTACTTCCAACGCACCAACCGCCAGGAGTAAACATGCCTGGACCACGAGACAAGAGCTCAGAGTCAATTTTGTCAAGCACTGGATCATCTTGGGGGAACTTTCTAGCAAATGGAGCATTGCTGTCAATCATCCTTTGCATGTCAGCAAGGTTGAGATGGTGTGGATGTTGCTTAGGTGGGTTGTCCCAAGATATAAAATGCAGGTCGCTATTCACAGTGGTGTTGAGAAATTCTTCAGCATTGCAAATGACAGTGTGGAAGTAACCTTCTGGGGAAGATATAAAGTTGGCATAGTACATTAGTACTGTTCGAGGTAAATTGTCCCATCCCCATATGGTGTAATCAATAAAGGGTCGAGACAGTGCCATCCAAGCAGAACCTAAAACAAAAAGCAGAAACCCAATTATAACAGGGCTCATTCAAACAATTATCCTGTTGACATTTAATCCAATGAAGGTAATCATGTGTGAACTTCAACCATCACATGAACAAATTCAGGTGTGATATAAAACACAAGCACTCAATGAAAAACACTTGCACACCCCAGCACCCCAATAGATCAAACAGTTTGTTGTGCATCAAATATTGAATGTAATGCGTTGTAACTCAACATCAAGTAATGGTTAGGTTCTGTTTGGTATTAGGGTGTGATCCAACAGTGTTGAACTAAACTGATGTGGTCATCATTAGTCCACAACCCTGTAATCTATATTTCCACATTCTTTCCATCTTCTGACAAGAGAAAACAAAAGGTCAGCAGCACTCCTGTAGGCTGCAATAGTTCATTTATTTTCATCAGAATAATGTACGATATACTAGAAGAAGAGAGCTGTTTAATTACCAAGATCAGACAAGCACTGGACTTCAATATTACTGATACTGGTATTGTATGGCAGAACAAAATAGCGATACTAACATCTGTAGTTCCTTAACAAATGGAAGCACTTATAGTCAGCCAAGGTCAAGAAGTTGCAAAACAAAGTCTGATTATATGTATCTATCTTTTTAAATGCTTGGTTTACATGAGTGAGCACATTTTTTGTGTGCTTGGAAATGGAAAGATCACTAGAAGCCTCTGCATGGTAAGATCAGCAGTTGCTCCAGCTAAATAAGTAGAGTGGATGCAGCTGGTCAAGCTAAAGCTTCTCCGGCTAATAACTAAATCATCTTGAGCAACAGAAGCTGGCCCTAGGTCAGATCTCTATACTCTGCTCATATAAATATGAAACACTTCTGGAAAAAATTTCAATCGACATATTTTGGGCACCTAATTAGGCAGCCCACGTTCCGTCTCAAGTTCCAGCCAACTGATTCCAAATGCAGCAGAATTTTAACAGAAACCACACAGCAGATAAAAAGATTTCACAATTTCAGATAACAGAAATCCAAAAACGAGGGATTATGCTGGAGGGTTCAATAAATCCAAGATTCTCATTTCTTTGTTCCCTATTATTTTATTTTTATATATATAAGCCATGAGATCCTAATTTCAACTTCTTTTAACCTGACTAAACAAAAATTAAGACAACAGATATTATAATGCTTCACAAGTATCCGTAACTGCAATCCCAAGGCTAAACAGATATTATTTTCTTGACATCTCTTAAAGTAATATAACTTTCCATATCACATCTGCTAAGGCAATGAAATTATATCAGAATCTATAAATAGGGAGATTGACAAAATAAAAAAAGGTGCTAGGAAGTAGAGGCACACACTGCTTTATACCCTGTACTTGTGGACTCTTTGTTATTGAACAAGAGGTGTATTGAAGGATTTCTGATTGTCTCGATTTTAGAGCAGTATTTACAGCATTATTGACCCAGTAGTAAGCAATTGCATATCAAAGCCTGGTAAAGAACATGCATCTTATGTTCGCTCGTTATTAGGACTGGTCTAATCATACAACACAGTATTTTTAACTAAATTGTGCCAATACAGGTGGAAAATCAGTAAAAAAAAAAGGAAAATCTTGAACATTGAACATAGAGAATAAAACTCTTTCAGAATTTGTGGACATGAGAACAAAATCCTCTATGCAAATTGGTCTGAATTCAACTATTTTGATTGTTTGAAAATATGGTAATTCAAAGGTAGAGCACATAGAGGCTTTCAAAGTCAGCAAAATCTAAGTAACAAAAATCATATGCAGAAGATGAAGCTCAACAATGGAACTTGCACTTTGGCACATCTGAGGGATCCAAGAAAGGAAATTCAACAAAACAAGTAGTAACTGACGTACTTTAAATTCAAGATTCAAAATTTTGTACCTGTAAATAATTTAAATGCTGTTGGGACACTCCTCCTTTGTGTAATCCAAAAAACATCAGCTTTCTTTGTCATGTACAAACCTGGATCTATAATTATTGGCTTCGCCCTTTGAAACCTAAGAAATATATCAACACCCAATTAGTAATACCCATAACTCAAAAAACACAAAAGCAAGAAGCATCAAACTATCCTTACTCTTTCCATCCAATGTTACTTGTATGATCAATAAAATTAAGATCCCGTGGCAGATATGAAAATGTGTGCAACAGATCTACAAAAAGAAATATTATAGTAACAGAAATAGTAATAAGATGAAAATTTCATCCAAAAAAAAAAAAATCCCACCTCAAAAACAAGGGAAAAAGAAAAATGAAATCATAGTAAGTAAACTTACCATCCTGTGTAACAAGTGGATAATCAGATGCACTAAGATTAATAAACCAATCCCAATCCGCACTTTCTCTCAACAAGATAGCAGCACCATGTAATGTATTAGCTACCATAGTGGGTCCTCTGTAAGTAACAAGATTAGCTTTAGTAATCATTCTTACATTACCAAACCTGAGAAAAACAGGATGGCCTTTCACAAAATTGCTTAGATCTAATCTCTCCTGAGCCGAGGATTCCCTGTCCAAATGAACAACATATTGGTTGTTGGGATGGTAAAGAGCTTGTAAAGTCCGCCTCAGCATTTTGGCATCACCAGCAGAGCCGGAGATTAAGTAGGCAAATCGAGGGGGTGGAGGAAGATTTGAAAGGGGTATTGGGTGGATTTTGGTTTCAACAAATTTAGAGCTGAAAGAAGAGAAAGAACGGTAGAAAGGAAACAAAGAGATGCCATCAGAGGTAGTGAGTGTTGTGAGGAAGAGGAGGAAGAGAGAAACCATAGAGCCAATTGCTAATGGAAAGATCCATTTTCTTTCCATGTTTTGGTGGTGGCGTAAGTGCATATAGTAACTCTTCAATCTCTTCATTATATTATTCTTTTTGAGGTTTTTTTCCTTTTCGTTTTTTTTTTTTTTTTTTTTTTTGAGAGAAACCCAAAAACAGGAAGAGGAAGAAGAACAAGAAGAAGATTGTTAGTGATTAAGGCTATGGTAACGAGTGGAGTTTTGGAGGGTTTTTATTTTATTTAGGTAAGAGGAAGTAGAGAGTGAAAGGGACAAAAGGGGTGAATTTGATCCTCGCCGTGACACAAGGGGAGCAGAAGAATGACTTATCACGCTTGGGGTTGGGGATCATCATCATTACCGATATTATTATTCTGCTTTCTTTTTAGTGCACTTCCCACGTAGAAGGTGCGTTGGTATGGTGAGATTATTGGAAGAAGAATTTAATCTTCATTTTGATATGAAGAAGTCTTTATTGCTATCTAACCCAAAAAAATAATAATAATAAAAAATCTTATTATTATAAATTGGGTATTTGGAATTTGGTTATTTATTTGTTTAGGTGTCAAGTAGGTGTTGTATTGGTTCCATTTAGGTTGGGGGATATGATGGTTCTTTTTATTTATTTATTTATATTACTATTATTATTTGCATTAGGTGCTAAATTGGTGGATTTTGGTCCTTGGGTTTAGGGATTGGGATGTGTTCTTCTGTTTTTAATAAATTGTATTAATTGAATGTTGTTGGGACCCTGAAATTGAATCGCTTCTTTTCTTTTTCCTAACTTCTTTCTACTTTAAATGCTAGTTATTGGTTTGGGGGATGGAAATTCAAGTCACATATAGATGTAAAAAAAAAAAAAAAAAAATCAAATCAAATATGTATCATTAGCATTGTCATGTCATGTGAGAGAATTTCACCTAAATTAAATTAAGGAAAAAGTTATATTTCCCAAATACACATAAATTGAGACACATTATATACTTCACCTAAATTAAATAAGTATATAATCTTTTTATTTCGTACAATAAAATATCTAATCACATGTTGATTAGTCATATACTAATATGTACATTAAGTGTAACATGGACCTTAACAGCAAGGATAGAAAAACACTTAGATGTCAAAAGCAAAAGAGTGGGCTATTTGATAGTTTACTTTGATAGAGGAAAAAAAAACATAGAAGTTCGAAAAGCAAAAAATGTTTATCCTATGTCCGATGTAATATCCATAACTTAAAACTCTCCTAAAATGTAAATGGTATTGTATAAATATTTTATTTAATTAATAAAAAGTATATTTATTAAATGTGAGAAATAAGGTTTAAACCTTAGTTAAAAATAAAGTAAACACAATTATGATTGAAAGGAAATATCAATGAAATGAGGAAAGATTGAATTAGAGATTGGTATCATAAATTGTTATGGTTATGCTTTGACATAAAGGCATAATCGTAAAGATTAAAAGTTTAAGTCCTTCATTGAAATGATTAAGAAACTTTAAGGACTTGAATTATCTTTGGAATAGGTCTAGGATGAGGGCCAAATTGGTGAAAATTGTGAAGTTATGGACTGGAATTGTGGGGTCGATTGCAAGGATTAGAAGTTCGGGGACTAAAGTGTAAAATATTTAATCTTGTGAGGGACCTATTAATTGAATTTAGGGGACAATTTTTAGGTAGAGAATTCTAGAAATTTCAGAGATAAAGAGAGGGAGAAAGTCAGTTAAGGAGGAAGAAGCAAAAGAAAATATCTAGGACAAAAAGAAAAACAAAAGATGAAGAAGAAGAAGAAGAAGAAGAAAAATCAGGGAGCAATTAATGACCAACCTTGAGATTAATCTAAGTGTGACACACTTGGCTTAATCTTGAGGAAAAACCCTAGCTATAAATATAGAGGAGGAAAAAGAAAGAAGGGTTACACAATTAGAGTTTCCAAGTAACCTAAAGGAAATGATACACCAAGTAAGGAGGAAGTCGTATAACCACCAATCCAAGCCATCTTAATTAGTCTAGAAACACTCTAAAACAACCTCCAAACTAGTTTAGAGGATCAACTAAGGAGAGGGAAAGATTCTTCATCTTGGTCGAAACACTTATAAGAGAGGAGGAGAAAGGAACCAAGGAAGAAAAGAGATAGTTTGGCTAAATTCAAATGATGTAAGTGTAATCCTCGTTACGCCATAAGAAATTAGCGATTTTAATATGTGATTGATGTTAATTTAGGGTTTATTTGATTGAGATTTAATGAATATAATGTTGAGGATTGCCTTAGGATGATTGAATTCAAATGATTTGATGATGCATGTATAGTAATGATGTGTGAATTGCGATATTTGAATGATTGGATTGAATGAATTCATGTGTTTTAATGTTGTACTTGTTCTTGAACAGGTGGATGAATGATTTAAAGCATGTACAAATCGATGGTTGTATTAATTAATGCATATATATATTGGAAACAAGGATGATAACTTAATATATGTATTTCAAATACTCGTGGTAAAACTACAAGGGGCGGACATAACTAGTTTTCCCTATCATATTAGGATAACCAGAGGCCAAACCCCTAAGATTAATAGTTATAAGGAAACACCTGACAGCTTACTTAAACAAGTCGCTACCCTATTTTGTGTCTAGAATATAAACATTATACAAATGGACAAAAATTGTGCAATCCCATTTTGTCATCTGCAATAGCTGAACGAAAAGAGGAGGGTAAATCATTGGACCCAAATAAAACCTTGCATGATTTATGTTGAAAGGCCCAAGCTGCTAGTCTGTCTGCTGTCATATTACCTTCCCAGTGAACATTCTGAATGGTGATTCCATCATTTATTTGCTCCTAACAAGCTCTAAAGATATAAGTAAGATTCCACGAGCATGCAGATGGGTGAGCTAAACCACCTAGAATTAGTGCGGAGTCGCCTCTATGATGTCAAATAATAGGTTAGACCTCCTACATATCCTGATCCCTTCCAAAGCTGCTAAAGCTTCACCCTCTGTATTTGTACTCGGACTAAAAAATTTGGAGAAAGCCATTACTAAGTTCCCCTTGTCATCCTGCAGAATACCACCACCAGTACATAAATTACAAATTGCTGCACCGTTAGTGTTTAGCTTGTGCTTTCCCATTAGAGGAAACTACCACCTAATCTAGTAGCCCGATACCTTCATTTTGTCTAAGATCCGTAAACCCAAGGTTCTAAATTGATAATTCCTGTAACCATTATCAATGATGTCTGTTTTCTGAGCCATTATTCCAAAAGAAATTCGTAATGTAACCCTGAATTCTTGCCACTGTGGATTTCGGAATTAGTAGCACACACATTGTGTAAATCGAGATAGAGGTAAGCATACTCTGAATCAGCGTGACCTTCCCCCTGTAAAAAGCAGTATGCTCTTCCATCATGCTAGCTTCTCTTGGATCTTGTTTTCAATATGAATACAAAATTCTACCTTAGGTCGACCTTTAAACAAAGGCATGCCCAAGTATCAAATTCTGTCAGTGGCTAAGTTAAAGCCCGTCCAGGTTGCTAACCTGAATTTATTGTGAGTTGTTATTTTAGAGCTACACACCAGTAAGCTTTTCCAAAGATTGATCATTTGCCCACTAGCTGTTATATACATTCTTAGCAAGGCCATAATCTTTTCAAAATTCCATTTTCCTCCATTACAGAAAACCAATATGTCATCTGCAAACAAGAGATGGGATATTGGATAGCCATGTCGACCAGTGTTAAATGGGAGGATATTGCCCTTAATCACCTACTCCTTCAGATGCCTACTAAAAACCTCCTAAGCAATGATGAATAGTGCTGGAGACAATGGGTCTCCCTACCTTACCCCCCGTGAAGAATTAAAGAAACCATAAGAGATGAAGTTAATGCTAATGGAGTACCAGCAGTTGCTTAAGCATTTCCAGATAAGCTTACACCACTACTCTGAAAAATCAAAACTCATCACTTTCAAGAGGAAGGACCATTCCAACCTATCATAAGCCTTAGCCATATCGATTTATAAAATGATGTTTCCTTTAAACACCTTTCTGTCTGAGTCATGCATGAGCTCGTAAGCTAGGATGACCCCTTCATGAATTGTTCTTCATTTAACAAAGCTTGACTACTCTAGTGATATAATAGCTGTCAGTATCCTACTCAAATGGGATGCTAGTAAGTAGGATAATATTTTATAAGAAAAGTTACAGAGGCTCATGGGTCTTAAATCAACAAGAGTAGCTAGACGAGCACAGTTGGGGATGAGGACCATTATCGTGACTGTTACACCCTCAAGAATGTTCCCTCTTGAAAAGTAGACTGAATGGCCTTGACAACATCCTTGCCTATGATATCCAATAAGCTTTGTAAAATGCTTTAGTGTAACCATTGGACCAGGCGCACTCATATTATCCATTTCAAAAACTGTCTCCTTAATTTCCTTTTCAGTAGGAGAAGCCATTAGCATTATATTCTAGGAAGCTATAAGCACCGTGGGGATGACATCTATGAACTAATCTTATATAACAGTTTATCCACTAGTAAAAACTCCTCTGAAATGATTAATCGCAACCATCCCAATCTTATCCTCATCCAAACATTCCTCGCCATCTTCCAAAGTGAGAGATAATCTGGATGGTACAGCTCTGTTACGTATGCATGCATGGAAAAAAGATGAATTATGGTCTCCAGATACTAGCCGTTTTACTCTGGACTTTTCTTGTAACATTAGCTTTTCTTACTCTACAAGACATGCTAACTGGCTAACTGGTCTCTCGTAGTATCTACCATTCTAAGACTCCTTCGTGCCACTAGATTGAAGACTTACCTCTACTTGGAGTAACTCATCTTTAGCCTTGTTAAAGTTTTACATTAATGTCACTGAACACATTCCAGTTTCACTTCCTCAACTCACCCCTTAGAGCTTTCAATTTCAACTGTAGATTAATGAAAGAAAAGCTACTGAAAGTTGTTTGCCTGTTGTTATGGACAAATGGTAGAAATTCATTGTGTGTGATCCACATTCTTTTGAATAAAAACTTTAAAGATTTTGGAGTAGGACCAATTATAGAGAGCATTAGTAGGTAGTG